GGGCTACTCAACCATTCATTACCTTATCGTCGTCTTTTTTTTTGTATATAATTTCTAAAGTGGTAGACTGGGGAAGTACAGATATATACTGTATATGTGTATTACAGCAAAGTATCTGAAATAGTATTTTATTATATCCTATAATAAAAGTATGTTAAACGGGGAGGAACTCTTACAGATCATTTGTCCAACACTTTGATTTTGCAGATGTGGAAACAAAGTCCCAGAAAGTCAAGTAGTCAACATTAATATTTAGGATGCAATGTAAACAATTTGAGAGATAGTTTCAGTACTCTGTCTTTTCAATACCACATATCTCTTTTGGATATAACAGAGAAGTAGGGACTGGCTAATACTATTCAGAAAGTTTTTTAGATGATCAAAAAACCTTCCTCAAGGAATACTGATGAAGTGATATATGTCTACCTGGTGGAGGATTTCAGTGATATACAGAATGACTTATCATACCTTTGTCCTGTCCTGCATAAATGCACACATTTCTATATTTATTGACTTGACAAATATCTAGTGCTTGCAAACCATGTACTAAGAATGCGGTAGGGAACAAGAATGACATGGTTCCCAGCTTCCTAAAGTTTGTATTCTAGCAGCTTGTATTCTAGCTCAGGAGGCAGTAAACAATGAAAAGAAGCCTTCACACTGGTGACCCCCTCCTACTTGAAACTTACTCTTCCCTTGGCTTTTTCTTCCACTCGTCTTTACATGGTTAATCTTTGGCCCCTACTGACATTAGATGTTTTCCCTCAGTAATCTCAACTTCTGCCTATGATTCTCACAATGTACACAATGTATACAAGGACGACTCTCAATTTTTCATTTTTAACACATATCTCTCAAGCTCTAAACTATCTCTTACATATATTCAATGATGTACATTTTTGCCATCGAATTTGCCTCTTCAAAACTGAACTCAACTCATTCCCTGTCACACACATTTCTCTTTCTGTCTTTCCCATCTCAGTAGGAAAACCTAGATGCCACTGCCTGTTTTACCTCTCACATCCAATGAGTGGGTCGCCAACTCCTTTTAATTCCATTTCCTGAAACTTTCTGCACTATAACCCCTCTGTTATTGATCCAATCATTATTTCAGTAGCCTCCTAAGCAGTTTCTTAGCATTTTGCATCAGAATTGATTTCAGTTCAGCTCAGTTCAGTCACTCAGTCGTGTCCGACTCTTGGTGACCCCATGAATCAAAGCACGCCAGGCCTCCCTGTCCATCACCAACTCCCAGAGTCCACCCAAACCCATGTCCATCGAGTCAGTGATGCCATCCAGCCATCTCATCCTCTGTTGTCCTCCTCCTGCCCCCAATCCTTCCCAGCACTAGGGTCTTTTCCAATGAGTCAATACTTCGCATCAGGTGGCCAAAGTATTGGAGTTTCAGCTTCAACATCAGTTCTTCCAATGAACACCCAGGACTGATCTCCTTTAGGATGGACTGGTTGGATCTTCTTGCAGATCAAGGGACTCTCAAGAGTCTTCTCCAACACCACAGTTCAAAAGCATCAACTCTTCGGCACTCATCTTTCTTTACCATCCAACTCTCACATCCATACATGACCACTGGAAAAACCATAGCCTTGACTAGATGGACCTTTCTTGGCAAAGTAATGTCTCTGCTTTTAAATATGCTATCTAGGTTAGTCATAACTTTCCTTCCAAGGAGTAAGCGTCTTTTAATTTCATGGCTACAATCACCATCTGCAGTGATTTTCGAGCCCAAAAAAATAAAGTCTGACACTGTTTCCACTGTTTCCCCATCTTCTTCCCATGAAGTGATGGGACCAGATGCCATGATCTTAGTTTTCTGAACGTTGAGCTTTAAGCCAACTTTTTCACTCTCCTCTTTCATTTTCATCAACTTCATCACTTAAATTGAAGAAAGTAGGGAAAACCACTAGAGCATTCAGGTATGACCTAAATCAAATCCCTTAGGATTATACAGTGGAAGTGAGAAATAGATTTAAGGGAGTAGATCTGACAGACAGAGTGCCTGATGAACTATGGATGGAGCTTCGTGACATTGTACAGGAGACAGGGATCAAGACCATCCCCATGGAAAAGAAATGCAAAAAAGCAAAATGGCTGTCTAAGGAGGCCTTACCAATAGCTGTGAAAAGAAGAGAAGCGAAAAGCAAAAGAGAAAAGGAAAGATATTCCCATTTGAATGCAGAGTTCCAAAGAATAGCCAGGAGAGATTTAAAAAAAGCCTTCCTCAGTGATCAATGCAAAGAAATAGAGGAAAACAACAGAATGGGAAAGACTAGAGATCTTTTCAAGAAAATTAGAGATACCAAGGGAACATTCCATGCAAAGATGGGTTCGATAAAGGACAGAAATGGTATGGACCTAACAGAAGCAGAAGATATTAAGATGAGGTGGAAAGAATACACAGAAGAACTGTACAAAAAAGATCTCCACAACCCATATAACCACGATGGTGTGATCACTCACTTAGAGCCAGACATCCTGGAATGTGAAGTCAAGTGGGCCTTAGAAAGCATCACAAAACAAAGTTAGTGGAGGTGATGGAATACCAGTTGAGCTATTTCAAATCCTGAAAGATGATGCTGTGAAAGTGCCGCACTCAATATGCCAGCAAATTTGGAAAACTTAGCAGTGGCCACAGGAATGGAAAAGGTCAGTTTTCATTCCAATCCCAAAGAAAGGCAATGCCAAAGAATGCTCTAACTACCACACAACTGCACTTATCTCACACACTGGTAAATTAATGCTCAAAATTCTCCAAGCCAGGCTTCAGCAATACGTGAAACGTGAACTTCCAGATGTTCAAGCTGGTTTTAGAAAAGGCAGAGGAACCAGAGATCAAATTGTCAATATCTGCTGGATCATCGATAAAGCAAGAGAGTTCCAGAAAAACATCTATTTCTGCTTTATTGACTACGCCAAAGCCTTCGACTGTGTGGATCACAATAAACTGTGGAAAATTCAGAAAGAGATGGGAATAGCAGACCACCTGACCTGCCTCTTGATAAAACTTTATGCAGGTCAGGAAGCAGCAGTTAGAACTGGACATGGAACAACAGACTGGTTCCCAACAGGAAAAGGAGAATGTCAAGGCTGTATGTTGTTGTCGTCACCCTGCTTAGTTAACTTATATGCAGAGAACATCACGAGAAACGCTGGGCTGGAGGAAGCACAAGCTGGAATCAAGATTGCCGGGAGAAATATCAGTAACCTCAGATGTGCAGACGACACCACCCTATGGCAGAATTGATTCGCTCTAACATAAATCTAATAATGACATTTCCTCTGTGCCTTCCTTAGTAATTTAATTCTGCAAGAGGCCCATGCAACTCTGGGCTGCCCTACGTGTCAGTAACAGCTCCAGCCACACTGAGTGCTCTGAGTGCTGTGGGCACAGCGACACACTGAAGGCCGGCTGAGGAGGGCGGCCAGGATGGCTGGCCCAAGCGCAGAGGCGCGAGAAGAGGCTCAGGGAAACGAAACACTCACGCCATCTGCAGCAAAGGAAACCGAGTGGGGACACGAAACTTCTTCATTTGAAGAACGACTTACAGTAGAGGAGTAAGACAACCTGAGCACCACAGGCCACAGCGGAAGCATGGGGTCTAAGTGCAGCGCGGTAGCTCAGTGTCAGGATGGTACCCGACTGGGACGCTGTGTGACGCTGCAAATCCTCCTGCGGTAAAGACTGCGAGCAGAAGCTGGACAATTGCACCACGGGTGTCGTCAGTGCACAGGATTTCTGAACAGCACAGGAGACTGATCTGAACGTTGGCTTGCTGAATGTAGACTTAGAGTGATTCACTTATGGCACCAACTACAAGATGAATAATTTACACTGATATTTTTTGGATAACCAGGAAAATCATCCAGACATCTCCCTTCCTGATCGAATTCAGACTGCTGCTTTCCACCTAGGAAGTAACTACAGATTCCTCTAAGGTAGCCATCAGGTAGTAGTTAACTGATATGAAAGAAAAGCATCATGCATTTGAGAATGTTTGCTATGCAGTTTTTAATGTGATAAAGACTTTGAAAATAAATGTAAATACAGGTAGCTACCCACAAGCTACATAAAAATGCTTTATACACAAGAATACAAAATTCCCCTTCCTTTTTCACTTTGCTGCTATGGACGTCTTTGTGCTTTAAATTACATGGCACCTGGCCCCTACTTCTTGATCCTCTCAGGACCCATTTACAGAGGTATAGTAGAAAAAGTTAAAAAAAAATTTTTTTAACCATCTACTTATTGGACAACTCTAGGTTCTTTCTTAATGAGATACAGCCCATTTCTTTTTTCAGGTATCTGTACATTCTGGCTAGCCAAGAGTGAAGGGGAAGGTACTCTCAATCCAAGACACAAATATTTCTCTTTTGATTCAAGCAAAAAACCTTTGCAAGTAAAATCCCACTCAGAGATTGGTTCAAGATGGCACAGTAAGAGGACATGCACTCAGCTCCTCCTGAGAGGGCACTGATATCACAGTTATTGAACAACCATCAAGAGGAGAACGCGGGAATCCACCAAAACAGACACCCATGTCCAAGGACACAGGAGAAGTACACCGGTATTAGTAACCAAAATCATGAAATCACAAAGACTATCCCACAGAAAGAAATCGATATACATTGTTTTCTAATGCTCTCCAGGGTCACAGTGAGTTCAACAGACTTTTGGGGGGATGGTTCAGAACCTAATTACTATATATAAAACTGCTTCTAGGGGACACTTTTATAAACCCCCAAATTAAAACAGGTCAGGACTATCTTTATGAAGATCTTAATGCTTTATCAGCAAATCTACTAGAAGGAAAATTACTGAAGCTGTAGCACTGAGAACAATGACGCAAATCTTTAAGTGGCAGAGGCTGCAGCACTTATAGTAACAGATACTTCTTTAACTTGTCAAAAGGAAGCGGTCATTTCCACCAGTAAAGTGCTGGGTTATTTCTCATTATCCATTAATTCTCTCAAAAGTTACTCACTGCTGAAGAGTAGAGTTCAAACTCTTGCTCAGGGAGGAAAGAATGCCAGCCATCTTCTACCACTTCAAACATGGGCCGGTAAAAGAAAGGGTACATCAGAGTGATGGAGTCCAGGGTAGATAACGCCTACGGGAAAAAAGAAGTAAAGAAAGAAAAAGGGAACGTGTCACAATTCCAAACATTTTCTATCTGCCAAACTGATATTCATCAAATATGGCCTAAAATGATGGACACCTCATTCATTTCTTTAACATTATATTTATCACTAGATACAATTATACCTTATTTTCAGCCTCTAACACAGTGTCTGGCACATAACACTCAATTAGCATTTGCTGAATGAACAAAAGAAGAAAACAATGTGCACACCTATTCTAGAAGAAAAATGAAAAAAACTTCTTCCAGATACCATGTAATAAGGCCTAAAGAAAAGGTCCAAATATTTCTGGGGATTAGAGAACAGGCTGCAGTTAACCAATAAAGCCTTGGCTCAAAATCCAGTTATTAACTACATAGGTAAATTACTTAAAACCAGAGTTTCTGAGCAATTGTAAAAAAGCTTAGTAGCCAAAGAGTCAGACTGCTAGACTCAAGTTCCAGATGCCAGCGCCAACAGTGGCATTACGTAATGCGGCCACTACATGCCTCAGCTGTCAATGGAGGAAATAACTTCACAGGGCGATGCCTAGGGTTGTTGAGGCATTAAGAGAATGTGTGTAGCAGGGCTAAAATAGTACCTGACACATAATAAACTCTAATTTCAGCTACCATATGCTCCACGTAGCCTCCATCAATGTGAAATTCCCTCCCTTCCTAGAGTGATCAGACGCTCTCATACCTGCATGCTACACTATCCCATTCTGAAACTGGGGCAGTAACTCCATGGCCCCAAAGTGAGCCTGCAGGTCACCTGAGGTACAACGCCAAGGAACCCTGACTAGATGAGGGACTGAGAGACAGAATATCCCCTGTCACCTGGCAATTTCATCCTTCTGACAGGGGAGCTTTAGAAAGTATTTCTATGGCTAGAAAAACAAAGGCACAAAATCAGTTAGCACAATTCAAACTGCTGTAATTTTGGAGACACTCGGCTGGAGGGGTGCGAGGGGCCCAACATCAAGCTAACATTCCCAAGCTCTCAGAGTAAAGCTACCTCCTTCTAAGTCACAGAAAGATCAGGTCAGTAGAACCTTTATTTAATTTTTAAATTTTATTATTTTACTACTTAAAAATATTCTTTGCAATATTAAAATTTTTTTGGCTTTACTGCAGTACAAATTGATAAATAAAATGTAAAATATTTCTAACGTACAATGTGATGATTTGATACACAAACACATTGTAAAAGAGTTTCCCCCTTGAGTTAATTAACACATCCATCAACTTGCATATTTACTTTCTGTTGTTGCTTTTGAGAACATTTAAGTTCTGCTCTCTTGGCAAATTTCAGTTACATAATATAGTGTTATCAACTACAGTCTATGTTACACATTAGATTCTCAGGTCTTATAACTGAACATCTGTAACTTATACCAGACTCTCCCTATTTCACCCACCCCTAGCCCCAGGAAACCACTTTTCTACTCTCTGTTTCTATGTGTTTCCCTTTTTCATTTTTGAGATTCCACATATGAGTGATACCATGCAATATCTGTCTTTCTCTGTCTGGTTTATTTCAGTTAGCGCAATGCCCTCTAGTTTCATTCACTGTTTGTTCATGCCATTGTTCATGCAGTTGTTTCAACTGGCAGGATAGCTTTCTTTTTGATGGCTGAATAATATTCCATTGTGTGTGTGAGTGTGTGTATGCACACATGTGCACTTACTGTGTGTACAGTTTTCTGTATTCATCCATCATCAACACACACTTAGGTTTTTATATATTTTGAATATTATGAATAATGCTGCAATGAACATGGGAATACAGATATCTCTTTAAAACAATCATTTTGTTTCCTTCAGATATACACCTTGAAGTGGGATTGCTGGATCAATGAAAGATCCTTTTTTAATTTCTTGAGGAACCTCCATACTATATTAATAGTGATTGATACAATCATTATTTTAAATCCATGTTCACAAACATTCCAGCAGGCAATAAGCACTGACTTGTCATGATTACATTTCATGCAGCTAGAGACAGAACTTTTCCTTTAAACACATTAATGCTCAAAGAAATAAAGTCATTTCAAACCTAAAAGACAACCGAAACTACACAGAAAAAATGGTTCATCAGACTTCCTACAATAATTTAGAAAACTGAGCACTTGCCAATTATTCTTCTAATGGGATTCTACTTAGGGTAGCAGATTTTTAGTATATGAACTTTGATAATAAAGAATAGCTCAACTATGCTTTATAAGAATTCACTTATTACTACCAAATTATATCATGATATATGGAGGGACAGAGGAAAACTGGATGCCAGGAAAAGGCTAGAGGCCAAGTACACCATGTGTATGTACTATGCTGTGAAAACAATCAATAGAGCATTCATTTTCTAAGGTCAGATTACAAGAGTGGCTCAGAATCTGAGACTTCTTTTCAGCCAAAAGGGCTTCTCCATAATCAGTCAGTTTCTACAGAGTTTTACATAGTATTTAATATGTACAGCTAAATAAGCAACTGATTAGTGTCAAATGCTAACAAAGCTAAGTAAATGCCATCAGAGTGGGGTAATAGGCTTTTTTGCCCTGTTTCTTCACCACAGGCAATTTCACTAACATCCACTGGCTATCTTACAAGTTATAAAAGGGATAAGAAAAAAAAATTTGCATGGGTCAGTGAAAATCCAACCCCACAAGTGAAAAAAAAAATAACATGCTCAACCAAAGTGGGTGAGCGGCATTACCTGGCCCAAAGAGCAAGACAGCATTTCCTTTCAACAGCCTAGAAGGTACAGTGTGATTCTCACTCATGTCAACAAATTCAGCCAACTCAACATTCCTATGTTATTTCCAAATGATGAGTAACACAAAGAGTTCAGCTTATCTTCTCGTTTTCATAAGAAAAATTTAGCGAAAGCAGAAAGAAAAATACTACATGCCATTTTCTCAGTACCATAACAGTTCTTCTATTTCTGTTTTTGTTTAAAAGCCAAAGGAAATCCTAGTTACAGATTTAAGCCTTTCTGCCTCCTTTTAATAGTTAAGCCAATAGCAATTATTCTGCACACAAAGCCCATATTAGGCACTCAAAGACAGAAAGAAAAAAAAAACTCAATGTGTCTCTATAATTATCTAGAAAATACTATAAACATAAAGTTAACTGCTATAATTTAGTAGTAATGATTTAAAATAAAGCAATTTTTAAATTGAGTATATACCAAAATAGTTGGTTAAAGTGGGAAAGAAAATAGTGTGTCCCTTGGACTGTAAAGAGATCCAATCAGTCTATCCTGAAGAAGATCAGTCCTGGGTGTTCATTGGAAGGACTGATGTTGAAGCTGAAACTCCAATACTTTGGCCACCTGATGCGAAGAGCTGACTCATTTGAAAAGACACTGATGCTGGGAAAGATTGAGGGCAGGAGGAGAAGGGGGAGACAGAGGATGAGATGGTTGGATGGCATCACCAACTCAATGGACATGGGTTTGGGTGGACTCCGGGAGTTGGTGATGGACAGGGAGGCCTGGGGTGCTGCGGTTCATGGGGTCGCAAAGAGTCAGACACGACTAAGCGACTGAACTAAACTGATTCAATTTAAACACTAAATTATCCAAGTAAAATTTCTATTATTTGTAATCTGGACATATGTTCAATATCATTTCTATAAATATAAAATAAACACATCCTATCTCAAGCAAACACGATGTATGGAAATTCAAATTTACTATAAACAAACAAAAGACTACAATCATTGGTGATAATTACTTGCTTTACAAAAGAAGTAAGATTTTCAAAGTCTCAACATTTATAAACACACAATGGAATATTATTCAGCCTTAAAAGGGAAGGAAATCCTGTCACATGCTACAACATAGATGAACCCAGAAGAATAAGTAACATTAATAACTGCTGTAAGTCAATAAAATCTTTTTACATTCCTGTAACAATAATTCAGGGTAAGGCTTTGCAGTCTTCCAGATTTGAGTCACAGAACATGACTCAAATGATATTTATCTAAAAAAGAAACATAAGAGTTACAGTGAATCAGAAAATAAAAGTTCCTTCTTTTATCACATTTTGTTTCCAAAACACTTACCTCAATGGAACTGGCTATATTCAAACATTCTTCCATTCCAGGAATATCCAACTGAATAATTCGAAAATCCTTACATTTTATGATGATGGTACCCAGTGGTCCCACAAATCTATAAAGAAATCATAAATTATGCTTAGGGACATATATACTCCCAACTCAAAAGTATATGATTATTTCTTCAAAAAGAGGTGGTTAGTCGTAATCACCAGCTATCCAGGCAGAGCTCCTTTTATTGTACTCACTTTATCGAGCTTCCCAGATAGTGTGTTTCTTAAAGATTGAATGTTTGTTGCAACTCTGTCCAGCAAGTCTATTGGCACCATTTTTCTAATAGCATTTGCTCACTTCATCTCTCTGCATCATATTTTGGTAATTGTTACAATATTCCAAGCCTTATTATTGTTGTTGCTATTTTGTTATACTTGTCATGGTGCTTTGCGGTCAGTGGTCTTTGATATTACTACTGTAACTGTTTCGGGGCACCAGTAACCATGCCCACATATGACAGCAAACTTAACTGATAAGTAAGTGTCTTCTGACTGCTACACCGACTGGCCGTTTCCCATCTCTCTCCCTCTCCTTAGGCCTCCCTATTTCCTTAGACACAACAATATTGAAATTAAGCCAATTAATAACTCTATAATGCCCTCTTAAGAGCTCAAATGCAAGGAAGAGTCACACATCTCACTTTGACATCAAAAGCTGAAAAAGATTAGGCTTAGTAAGGAAGCCATGTCAGTTGAAATAGGCCAAAAGTTAGGGCTCTTATGCCAACTAGTTAGCAAGTTGTGAATGCAAAGGAAAGTCCTTGAAGGAAATTAAAACTGTTACTCCAGTGAAAATAAGAATGATAAGAAAACAAAAAAAGTCTAAGTGCTGATAGAAAGTTTTAAGATCAATCAGCCATAACACTCCCTTAAGTCAAAGCCTAATCCAGAGCAAGGCCCTAATTCTAATTCTCTAAAGATGGAGGTAGGAAAGAAATCTATGAAAGAAAAGTCTGAAGCAAGCAGAGGTTTGTTCATGAGATTTAAGGAAAGAAGCTGTCTCCATCACATAAAAGGAAAGCAGCAAGTGCTGATGTAGAAACAGCAGCAAGTTATCCAGACATGAAGGTGGCTGCATTAAACAACAGATTTTCCATGTAGACAAAACAGCCTAGGGCGTTCCTGGTGGCTCAGTGGTAAAGAATCCACCTGCCAATGCAGGAGACACGGATTCGATACCTGGTCCAGGAAGATCCCACACGCTGTGAAGCAACTAAGCCGATGCACCACAACTACTGACCCTGTGCTCGAGAGCTGGGGAGCCACGACTACTGCGCTCCCGTGCCACAACTACTGACGCTCGCGCACCCGAGAGCCTGTGCTCCACAGCAAGAGAAGCCAGCGCAATGAGAAGCCATGCACTGCAATGAAGAGAAGCCCCTGCTCGCCGCAGCCAGCAAGGAAGACCCAGCACAGCCAAAAATACATAAAACTTTTTTAAAAAACAGCCTTATATTGGAAGAAGATGGCATCTAGGACTTTCACAGCTAGAAAGAAGTCAATGCCTGCCTTCAAAGATTTTAAGGGCAGGTATACTCTCCTCTGAGGGGATAATGTGAGTGGTGAATTAAAGCTGATGCCGATGTTCATTTACCATTTCCAGAGTCCTAGGGCCCTGAAAAATTATGTTACATCTACTCTGCCTGTGCTCTATAAATGGAACGACAAAGCCTGGATGATGGCACATCTTTTTACAACAAGGTTTACTGAAAATGTTAAGCTCACTGTTGAGATCCACTGTTCAGAAAGAAAGATTCTTTTCAAAACACTGCTACTCACTGACAAGGCACCTGGTCACCTACGATCTGATGGGAGACATACAATGACATACATGTTGTTTTCATGCCGGTTAACACAATGCCCATTCTGGAGACTGTGGATCCGACTTGATTTTCAAATCTTATTACTTAAGAAATATATTCCATTAGACTATAGCTGCCATACATAGTGATTCTTCTAATGGAATCGGGCAAAGTAAACTGAAAACCTCCAGAAAGGATTCACCATTCTAGATGCCAGTAAGAATATTCATGCTTCACAGGAAGAGGTCAAAATATTAATATTAACAGGAGTTTGGAAGAAGTTGATTCTAACCCTGATGGATGATGTTGAGGGGTTCAAGACTTCAGTGGAGGAAGTCACTGCAGATGTGGTGGAAATAGCAAGAGAAATAGAATTAGAAGTAGCATGTGAAGATGTGAATGAACTGCTGTAGTCTCATGATAAAACTTTAATGGATATGAAGTTGAACCACATGTTCAAGGAGTTGAACCAAGTGTTTTCTTGAAATGGAGTCTACCCGTGGTAAAGACTGTTGAAATGACAACAAGTAAATCTGAATATTACGTAAGCTTAGCTGATAAAGCACCAAGAAGGTTTGAGAAGACTGATTCTAATTTTGAGAAAAGTTCTACTGTGGGGAAAAATGCAATCAAACAGCACACTGCATGCTTCAGAGAGATTGTTCATGAAAGCAGAGAGTCAATCAATGTGGCAAACTTCACTTCTGTCTTATTTTAAGAAATTGTCGGAGCCACCTCAACCTTCAGCACCCACCACTCTGATCAGTCAGGGTTCATCAGCATTGAGGCAAGACCCTCCACTGGCAAAAAGGTTACAACTCACTGAAGGCTCAGATGATAACTGGCATTTTGTTTAGCAATAAAGTATTTTTAAATTAAAAAAAATTTCTTCAGATATAATGCTATTGCACAGTTAACAGACTACAGTATAGTATATCACAACTTTTATATGCATTGGGAAACCAAAAAATTCATATGATTTATTGAGGTAGTCTCCAGACTACCAGACGTGCAACACCTCTGCTGTGTGCCTATATTCAACTTCCTTCTCCCTTATTAGTTTAATGAAGGAAGAATCTCATGCCTATATCATTAAAATTTGAGCCATGAATTACTTAAAATACATATATTAAAATTTTTTAAATATATAAAGTCATTCACACTAGGCCAACTCATTTAGTGGAGATTATTAGAAGTCTTACTTCAAAGAATAAGAAAAATAAATCTGTAGTTGATGTATTAAGTGTTTGTATCGAGATATTTCTGAAGCATAGGAAAAACTGTTCATTTCAGATTTTACTTCCTTCCAAATTGGCAACAGTTGATTTGAAAAATAAGTATCTTTTTTCCCCCAGCCTTTAAAACCTATTAACTTGCAATATCTATTCTAAGTCAAGGAAAACTTCAGAGTAAAGGCCATATCTAATCATAAATTTTGTTACCAGTAAGTTTTGAATAAATTTGTTTTACCTTAGTTCGGATTTTTGTCTTCCTTTTCCTGTTGTTTTCTTTTGTCTACACTTGTTGATAGTTCTGATTTTCCTTTCGCTTTGCCACCAACTGCCCCAATTCTTTCGCATTAATACTTGTGAATATTCCCTAAACTACGACTTCGTATACTGATCCAGAACTGGCAATTTTATTTATACTGTGCCTCGTTTAGGAAGAAGACTCCTATAGCTACTCGTCCTGAATTCTGTAAATACCCCTATGCCCAACATCACTGCATTGTGAATTTGGATAAACGAAAATTATCAACATGGGTCAAATCCTAGCAAAGAAAATTCCATCGGAGATCCACAACTGATCAACAAAGTGGAATGCCTCTTATAAAGTATATTTTAAAAATTCATATTCTTGTCACTTCTACTTCTGGCAAAGTTTGAATTCAGGGACCATATTTACCCTACTACCTGAAACAACTAACATAAGGAGGCAAAATATAAGGAAGAACCATTTTCAAGACGCTGAACATCAAACAACAATTTTTAAGACATCAAACAAAGATCTCTGGGAGATGAGAAACAAGATGAGTCTGATGATCGTCCCAATGTACTGCTTTGAGATTTCCCAAGTCATAGTGAAGGGGGAGAAGAACTGGGTGGGGCTGATAGTCTGAGAAGACCGTCTATATTAGGAAAGAAGGAAATTAATGAAGAAAAGTTGGGTCTCAAATTAGTGACCTCAGATTCCACTATACTAGAAATATACCAGCAAGTTGAATCCAAAGCAGAAAATATTGAATAACAACGATAAGAGAGGAAAAAATTAATAAAAAAAGAGACAAGAGACCACCAGAATACAGAAAGCCCACTCCAGACACAGCAATCTAAACAAGATGAAAAGGCAGAGAAATACCCAACAGGTAAAGGAACATGAAAAATGCCCACCAAGTC